TCTGCCAATGGGTGCCCTTCTTTATGAGGCATTGGAAAACCTCCCTGGTCTTTGTGGTTGAATCTGTTTTTGAAATTCACTGCTCGACTGATGGACCTTACAGATAATTGTATGTGTGGGGTACAGAGATGAGGTAGTCATTAAAAAAATCATGTTAAACACTATTATTGCACACAGAGTGAGTCCATGCAACTTATTATGTGACTTGTTAAGCAAATTTGTACTCCTTTCTTTATTTAGGCTTGCCGTAACAAAGGGGTTGAATACTGATTGACTCCAGACATTTCAGCTTTTCATTTTTTATTTTTTTCATTTGTAAAAAAAAATCCCAAAACATAATTCCACTTTGACATTATGGGGTATTGCGTGTAGGCCAGTGACACAAAATATCAACTTAATCAATTTTTAATTCAGGCTGTAACACAACAAAATGCGGAAAAAGTGAAGGGGTGTGAATACTTACTGAAGGCACTGCAAGACATTACAAAGTAAATTTTTTATTATACAGTATTAACCAACTAGGTCTGCCAGGTCGCAGTTGTAAATGAGAACTTGTTCTCAACTGGCTTACCTGGTTAAATTAAGGTGAAAAAAATAAAAATAAAAATAAACTAGGATATCCCTTCAAGTTGACATAACATGTAGCCTACAGTTAAATCTCATCACCATCCTGATTGATTCCTCTTGTATAAGTTTTATTGAACCTTTATTTTACAAGTTAACCTCTTAAGGATTGGACCCTTTTTTTCAATTTTCGCCTAAAATGACATAACCAAATCTAACTGCCTGTAGCTCAGGACCTGAAGCAAGGATATGCATATTCTTGATACCATTTGAAAGGAAACACTTTGAAGTTTGTGGAAATGTGAAATTAATGTAGGAGAATATAACACTTTAGATCTGGTAAAAGATAATACAAACAAAAAAACGTGTTTTCTAAAAAAAAATGTTGTTCTATCATCTTTGAAATGCAAGAGAAAGGCCACAATATAATTTTGCAGTTTAGGCGCAATTTAGATTTTGCCCACTAGATGGCAGCAGTGTGTGTGCAAAGTTTCTGATTGATCCAGTGAAGCATAGCAATACTGGACTATTCGATCGGGATCTACCGTTTGGTGACCACCGCTTTAACGTCTAGAGCTCAGTATCTTTATTTTTCTTGTATATGTCAAGCATCTCTTTTAGAAAGGATAATGGCACGACCAGACTATCTGTGTGTGATTGTACTACTTCTCCACGAGCAGGCTCAGATACATTTCAGGTTCTTGGTCTGACTCATCCCATTGTTGCAATGGCTGGCGATGACATTCTTCCCAGTTACCTCAAGGCCAACATCAGTACTGAGGACATGAGAGTGGACTGGTTTAGACTATATTTGACGAACACTTGAGTTAATCTCTATGAAAATGGCCAAGATAACAATGAGTATCAGATGCCTTCCTACAGGGGAAGGACAGCAGTGTTTAAACCTCTAATAACCTCTAAATTCCTGCAACAACAGAATGATCAAATTAAGTTACAGCATCTGTACGCATCAAAAGTCCCAATGCAAAGTTAAACCACTCACCTTTCTATTTTTGAATTATTAAGATAAGAACCGATCATAATTTCAAAGTCATGCCAGTTTTTTTTTTTTAGGGGTGATGCATCATACAGAGGACCTGGCAAACCAGCCTATTCCCTACAATGTTAACTCAGACAGAAATGTGACCTGTTCAGGAAGCTAGGCGTATGTCACACGTCACTACTTCACAGGAGAGGCATTTAAACATTTTCTTAATAAAAATGCGTTTTTTGGCAGAAATGCCTTCTGGAACATGTCAACTTTCATTTGCCTTAATAACAAACGTGTATTCCATCTGTAAATACGAATAAAATGTTAAATTACAAGCCTAGTTGGTTTTGCCACGGAAAAAGACAGGAACCTTCCTGCTAGCCATGCTTGGCTGAGATAATGGATGGGCTGGACATGCTGGGAGATAAGGTTGGATTGGTCTGCTATGTAGCATGCTTCTGTCTATAACGTGAGCTGCTCAGTATGTGTTGATAATCCTTTTTACCACTGCTTTATTTGAAAGAAATAACGTTAACCATCGAGAACTACAAAAGTTTTGCTACTTTTCTCAACAACATTGATGCCCTGAATTTAGCAGGCGCTATCGACAGATCAGTAGGAAAAAGTTGTGATGGGCTACTTTCTGCACACGCCACAGTGTGTGAACCGGAGTGACTTGACACAACGCTGGCCAAACAAGATGTAGCTACAAACAAAACGGAGTTAAATGGTTTCAGTCTGCCGTGAAGCGCTCATCCATGTATACGAGTAAAAGTCTAGCTACATTTTCAGATATTATAAGTTTCTAATTTTGTCAGAAAGTCATTTTCATTGCAAGTTAAAGCATACTGTTAGCTAGCTATGTACACATATTTCATGAACATGTGTACATGTCTAGACAATAGTGACCCATCCACTTAGCTAGATGTGTGTGGTGGGGGGGGGGGGGGGTTCCACCCCGAGTCTTTTCCTTCACATGACCCATTAATTTAGACAAGTGTGTCTGGGTAAGCATCATCTAATAATTATGAAATATTTATAAAGTATTTTTATCTGGACACTTTCTGTTTTTGATATTGCTAGTATGCAAATATGCAAGTAACCATTTCACTGTACCGTTTACACCTTCAGTATCCTGTGCATGTGACAAATAACCTTAGATTTATTTTATATAGTGTGTTTACCAGAGACGGTAATGTGAAGAACAACATGACCTGCACCAAAGTGAGCGCTTTGGTGCAGGTGAACTTTCACCAATTGAGTCTTGATCTTTGGTTCTTTACTACACTACTCACTCTGTTTAGCACATGGCCTCACATGTGAATCCTTAAAGAGATGGGTGGGGCTAAGGCTTAAGAGGGTGTGAACGATGCTGAATGGGTGTAGACAAAGAAGAGCTCTCCAGTAGGTGTACCAAAACATTCAAGGGCCATTTTCTCAAAAGTGGGGTTAGAAGTTTATCAACTTTCAAAGCAGAAATACTTTCCCATTGTTCCTCAACTGCAGTGTATGATATAGCATTTTCTAGCTCGGATAATGGCTGGTTTATACTACGTCTACCGACAATGTCTGTAGACAGTTGTCGCAGTGACATCATGAACATTCTATTGTCGTCCGACATCAAACTTGTCGTTGTCGTTATGAAAAAGTATGAACACAAAAACAACAGGTTGCATGACGTCAGCAGCCTGCTGGTCCAAAATAGCATAACTGGTGTATTTTAACACCAATAAACCCATCTGTTTAAAAATAAATGTAGTATGTCAATCTAGCTAACTAAAAGCAACTTTCTAAACAATGTTTTGGTTTGTTTCTAGCTTGTTAGCTAGCTAGCTAACGTTAAGTTAGCTGGCTAGCCAGTTCAAATAATGACCATATCATATAGCTGACAAAGTCTTAACTTTAGCTAATTTGTAGTGATTATTACAGGAAAATGTGAGAGTGTGATTTGAAGGAGTCAGGCGCAGGAGGGTAAATCACAGAAAACAAAGTTTATTCCGTAGTACACAGTTACGCTGGATAGCGTCAACAGCACAGGACGTAATACAGGCGCACTGGAACACAATACAGGCACACAGGGAGAAATAACCCCGGCAATACAAAGTACGGATAGTTCAACCAAGCTACACTCATCTTCACATAAAACAATCACTCACAAGGACAAGGAGGCAGAGGGAACATTTATACACGGACTAATGAGGGGATATGAACCAGGTGTGTGTAATTGACAAGACAAGACAAATGGAATGATGATATATGGAGCGGCAGTGGCTAGTAAGCCGGTGACGACGAAGTCGCAGCCTCGGCGGAAGTCGTGACAGTACCCCCCTTTGACGTGCAGCTCCAGCAGCGCGCCGACCCCGGCCTCGGGGACGGCCAGGAGGACGCGGAGCAGGGCGAGCCGGATGCCGATGGTGGAAATCCCCAACAGGGAGGGATCGAGGATATCCCTCACCGGGACCCATCACCGTTCCTCCGGACCGTACCCCTCCCACTCCACGAGGTACTGAAGGCCCCCCACCCAACGCCTCAAATCCAGGATGGAACAGACAGAGTACGCCGGGGCCCCCTCGATGTCCAGAGGAGGTGGAGGGACCTCCCGCACCTCAGACTCCTGAGGAGAGACACATGAAACGAGGGGTTAATATGGTAATCAGGGGGAAGTAATAACCTATAGGTGACCTCGTTGATTCTCCTCAGGACTTTGAACGGCCCCACAAACCGCGGGCTCAGCTTCTGGCAGGGCAGGCGTAAGGGCAGATTCCGGGTCGAGAGCCAGACCCGATCCCACGGTATGAAGACCGGGGCCTCACTGCAGTGGCGGTCAGCGTTGGCCTTCTGACGACGCACAGCGCGTTGGAGGTGAACGTGGGCAGCGTCCCACATCTCCTCTGCGCGCCGAAACCAGTCATCCACCGCAGGAGCCTCGGTCTGGCTCTGGTGACACAGTGCCAGAACCGGTTGGTAACCTAAAACACATTGGAATGGTGTTAGGTTAGTAGAGGAGTGGCGGAGAGACTTCTGGGCATATTCTGCCCATGGCAAGAACACTGACACTGACTACTCCCCCGGCCGGTCCTGGCAGTAGGACCGCAGGAACCTACCCACATCCTGATTTACCCGTTCCACCTGCCCATTAGACTCGGGGTGGAACCCAGAGGTAAGGCTGACCGAAACCCCCAGACATTCCATGAACACCTTCCAGACCTTGGATGTGAACTGGGGACCTCGGTCAGACACTATGTCCTCTGGTACCCTGTAGTGCCGGAAGACGTGTGTAAACAGGGCCTCCGCAGTTTGCAGGGCCGTGGGGAGACCGGTCAGAGGAAGGAGGCGGCAGGCCTTGGAAAAGCGGTCCCCTGTCCTCGGCCGTGCCCTGATTGTATTACTGCTGATGATATCTGGAAATGTGCATGTACACCCTGGCCCATCTACTGTTGCTAGCCCCAATTCTGACTTGTGCTCTGATATCTGCTTCACTGATTTCTGCTCTCGTAAAAGCCTGGGCTTTCTGCACGTTAACACAAGAAGCTTATTACCTAAAATTGATCAATTGAAAGTGTGGGTTCACAGCTCCAATCCAGATGTGTTGGTCATTACTGAGACGTGATTAAGAAATAATGTTTTGAACACTGATGTTAACCTTTCTGGTTATAACTTATTTCGGCAAGACAGATCTTCCAAAGGTGGTGGAGTAGCAATCTTTACCAAGGAACACCTTCAGTGCTCTTTGTTGCCTGTTGCTGGGTGTTATTGTCCACCATCAGCACCGGCCTGTACCCTACCTGCCCTAAGCTCTCTCCTGGCCCCTTACGCTAAGTCTGAATTTGTCCTGCTAGGTGACCTAAACTGGGACACGCTTAAACCACCTGACCAAGTCCTAAAGCAATGGGACTCCCTAAATCTTTCTCAGATTATTACCAATCCCACAAGGTATGACTGCAAACACCCAGAAAAGGCTACTCTCCTTGATGTTATCCTCACAAATAATCCCGATAGATATCAGTCAGGTGTTTTCTGTAATGACCTTAGTGATCAATGTTTACAGCCTATGTTCGTAATGGCTACTCAGTGAAACGACCTGTCCTGATTTGTCATAGACGCTTGCTAAAAAACTTGAATGAGCAAGCCTTCCTTCATGATCTGGCCTCTGTAAATTGGTATAGAATCAGCTTGATCCCCTCTGTCGAAGATGCTTGGACCTTCTTTTTTGATATTTTCAGTGGTATTGTTAACAAACACGCCCCCATAAAGAAAAATATAATTAAAAACAGGTTCAGCCCCTGGTTCGACCGTGATCTGGCAGAGTTACTCCACCTCAAGAATTCAATTTCGCGAAAGGCTTGGCACACGCTTACTCAGGCTGACTGGCTCTCGTCAGTCTATCCGGAAGGCTAAAGCTAGTTACTTTAAGGAGCAGTTCTCTCTCTGTGGGTCTAACCCCAAGAAGTTCTGGAAAACGATTAAAGACCTGGAGGATAAACCCTCGTCCTCACAGCTGCCCATGTCCCTTAATGTTGATGATGTGGTTGTTACTGACAAAGAGCACATGGCTGAGCTCTTTAATCACTACTTCATTAAGTCAGGATTCCTATTTGACTCAGCCATGCCTCCTTGCCCGTCCAACATTTCCTCATCTCCTAGTCCTTCTAATGTGACTAGCCCCGATGCTCCTCCCTCTTTTTCCCCTACCCCGCTACAAAGTTTCTCCCTGCAGGCAGTCACAGAGTCTGAGGTGCTAAAGGAGCTCCTTAAACTTGACACCAAAAAAACATCTGGGTCAGATGGTTTAGACCCTTTCCACTTTGTAGTAGTCCTCTGTAGCTCAGCTGGTAGAGCACGGCGCTTGTAACGCCAGGGTAGTGGGTTCGATCCCCGGGACCACCCATACACAAAAATGTATGCACGCATGACTGTAAGTCGCTTTGGATAAAAGCATCTGCTAAATGGCATATTATTTAAGGTTGCAGCCCCTATCATCGCCAAGCCTGTCTCTGACCTTTTTAACCTGTCTCTCCTCTCTGGGGAGGTTCCAATTGCTTGCAAGGCAGCCACGGTGCGTCCTTTATTTAAAGGGGGAGATCAAGCTGATCCTAACTGTTATAGGCCTATTTCTATTTTGCCCTGTTTATCAAAAGTGTTGGAAAAACTTGTCAAAATTCAGCTGACTGGCTTTCTTGATGTCTATAGTATTTTCTCTGGCATGCAATCTGGTTTCCGCTCAGGTTATGGATGTGTCACTGCAACCTTAAAGGTCCTAAATGATGTCACCATTGCCCTTGATTCTAAGCAATGTTGTGCTGCTATTTCTATTGACTTGGCCAAAGCTTTTGATACGGTAGACCATTCCATCCTTGTTGGCCGGCTAAGGAGTATTGGTGTCTCTGAGGGGTCTTTGGCCTGGTTTGCTAACTACCTCTCTCAAAGAGTGAAATGTATAAAGTCAGAACATCTGCTATCTCAGCCACTGCCTATCACCAAGGGAGTACCCCAAGGCTCGATCCTAGGCCCCACGCTCTTCTCAATTTACATCAACAATATAGTTCAGGCAGTAGGATGCTTTCTCATCCATTTATATGCAGATGATACAGTCTTATACTCAGCTGGCCCCTCCCCGGATTTTGTGTTAAATGCTCTACAACAAAACTTTCTTAGTGTCCAACAAGCTTTCTTTGCCCTTAACCTTGTTCTGAACACCTCCAAAACAAAGGTCATGTGGTTTGGTAAGAAGAATTCCCCTCTCCCCTCCAGTGTGATTACTACCTCTGAGGGTTTAGAGCTTGAGGTAGTCACCTCATACAAGTACTTGGGAGTATGGCTAGACAGTACACTGTCTTTCTCTCAGCACATATCAAAGCTGCAGGCTAAGGTTAAATCTAGACTTGGTTTCCTCTATCGTAATTGCTCCTCTTTCACCCCAGCTGCCAAACTAACCCTGATTCAGATGACCATCCTACCCATGCTAGATTACGGAGACGTAATTTATAGATAGGCAGGTAAGGGTGCTCTCGAGCGGCTAGATGTTCTTTACCATTCGGCCATCAGATTTGCCACCAATGCTCCTCATAGGACACATCACTGCATTCTATACTCCTCTGTAAACTGGTAATCTCTGTATACCCATCGCAAGACCCACTGGTTGATGCTTATTTACAAAACTCTCTTAGGCCTCACTCCCCCTATCTGAGATACCTACTGCAGCCCTCATCCTCCATATACAACACCTGTTCTGCCAGTCACATTCTATTAAAGGTCTTCAAAGCACACACATCCCTGGGTTGCTCCTCTTTCCAGTTCGCTGCAGCTAGCGACTGGAACGAGCTGCAAAAAACACTCAAACTGGACAGTTTTACCTCCATCTCTTCATTCAAAGACTCAATCATGGACACGTCTTACTGACAGTTGTGGCTGCTTCGCGTGATGTACTGTTGTCTCTACCTTCTTGCCCTTTGTGCTGTTGTCTGTTCCCAATAATGTTTGTACCATGTCTTGTGCTGCTACCATGTTGTGCTGCTGCCATGTTGTGCTGCTGCCATGTTGTGTTGCTACCATGTTGTTTTCATGTTGGGTTGCTACCTTGCTGTGTTGTCGTGTGTTGCTGTCATGCTATGTTGTTGTCTTAGGTCTCTCTTTTAATGCTGTGTTGTCTCTATTGTTGTGATGTGTGTTTGGTCCTATATTTATATATATATTTTTAATCCCAGCCCCCATCCCCGAAGGAGGCCTTTTGTCTTTTGGTAGCTATCTAACATTAGGCTATAACTAGCAATGCAAATGGCTCTAAGATATGAATAATATTACTACACAGTTCATACACGTAACATTAGCTAGCGAGCCAGCCAGCTAACCTTAGCTAGCTAGCTAACAGTACGCTTTAACTTGCAATGAAAATGACTTTCTGACAAAATTAGAAATGTATAATATCTGAAAATGTAGCTAGCTAGACTCTCTTACCCGTATACATGGATGAAAGCTTCTCCCGCTCTGTCACAGATGCCATGGTTGCCGTTAGTTTGAAGATGTCATCTGGAGACAGGTGTTTTATACAACAGCATTCTGTGTGTTCTCTTTTCGACTCCCTCCTCATATTTGCAGTCAAATGCCAGAATTTTCTCCATCTCCTTAGCTATCAAACTCTGCTTCCACTGGACATTCCACTGATTTCAAAACTCGGTCCTCCAGAAAGTGGGGCGCATTAGCAACACTTTTGCAGTTCTTCGTGATATCTTTCAAAAAAGCAGGGTTAGAAAGGATTACCTACACATACTGATCAGCTCATGTTATAGACAGAAGCGTGATACATGGCAGACCAATCCGAACTCATCTCTCGGCATGTCCAGCCCATCCATTATCTCAGCCAATCATGACTAGCTGGAAGCTTTTTCAGTGGCTAAACCAACTAGGCTCGTAATTTAACCATTTTGTTCGTATTTACAGATGGCATGCAAGTTTGTTATAAAGGCACATGAAAGTTCACATGTTCCAGAAGGCATTTCTGCCAAAAATGTGGCTTAGTTACAGTTTTGACTTAAATCGGCTTGAAAATCTATGGCAAGACATGAAAATGGCTGTCTAGCAAAGATCAACAACCAACTTGACAGAGCTTGAATAATGAAAAAAAGAATAATGTGCAAATATTGAACAATCCAGGTGTGCAAAGCTGTTAGAGACTTACCCAGAAAGACTCACAGCTGTAATCACGGCCAAATGTGATTGTAACATGTATTGACTCAATGGTGTGAATACTTACGGAAATGAGATACAGTCTTTCTGTATTTCATTTTCAATAAATTTGTGAACATTTCTAAAAACATGTCCATATACTTATGACATCTTCAAATGGGTGGACTAGATCTATAAAGTGCATTCATTTCTAAATTGTAAATCATACACTGTATGTATGAAAATACCATCAAATAAAAAGGTGACATTCTAGAGACAAATTAAGAAATGTAGCATCAATATCCAAATACAGTGTCTTCAGAAAGTAGTCATAACCCTTGACTTATTCCACATTTTGTTGTGTTACAGCCTGAATTCAAAATATATCAAATTGATTTTTTTTCTCACCCATCTACACACAATACCCCATAATGACAAAGTGAAAACATGTTTGTAGAAATCTTTGCACATTTATTGAAAAGGAAACGCCTAAATATCTAATTTACATAAGTATTCACACCCCTTTGCTATGACACTCCAAAATACGGTGAGCTCCAAAAGTATTGGGACAGTGACACATGTGTTGTTGTTTTGGCTCGGAAATGATTTTGCACAAATATCATACCACCCCCAAAATGCTAAACTCCCCTGTTATTGTAATGGTGAGGTTAGCATGTCTTTGGGGTATGATATTTTTGTGTTTAACTTTCTCACTCATCATCATTCACAATTCATTCAGCATTATCCGTAATCATGGTAGCATCCACTTTCATGTAGACGTGTTTAGAAACATATTTTATTCTTATTTACAATAAAAGTGACTCCAAAATGACACAAATTATTTACCATAAACTTCTATTGGGCAGAAAATAATCTGAAACACAACCAAAACAAACAGCAAATGCATCCAACAAATGTGTAGAGTCACAACCTTGTAGTCATTGCGTGCTATGAATATGAGACCAAATACTTAACTTTTTACTACTTTAATACACATAAGTTAATTTGTGCCAATACCTTTGGTCCCCTAAAATGGGGGGATTATGTAAAGAAATTGCTGGATTTCTAAACGGTTCACCCAATATGGAAAATACCCTCAAATTAAAGCTGACAGTCTGCACGTTAACCTCATATCATTTCAAATCCAAAGTGATGGAGTACAGAGCCAAACAACAAAAAATGTGTCACTGTCCCAATACTTTTGGAGCTCACTGTAGCTGCCCATCTAAATCAAATTGAAGGCACACAATGTTCTAATATGCTCAGATGAGATGCTGCATGGTTGCAATACATATTCGAGTCGTTTTCTTTTTAGAATTGTGTACATAGCATTGTTATTTCTTTTACGACAGTGTGTGGGGTCTTTATTTGATCTTACCTGTAGAAACCTGTGCACCTGTGACTGATACTGATAGGCCTATAGGCTTAGGCCTAGATAGCGTCTACTGTCTGTAGGCCTATGCTCAGAAACGCACTGTACAGTCGTGGTCAAAAGTTTTCAGAATGACACAAATATTGGTCTTCACAAGGTTTGCTGCTTCAGTGTTATGAGATATTTTTGTCAGATGTTACTATGGTATACTGAAGTATAATTACAAGCATTCCATAAGTGTCAAAGGCTTTTATTGACAATTACATTAAGTTTATGCAAAGAGTCAATATTTGCAGTGTTGACCCTTCTTTTTCAAGACCTCTGCAATCCGCCCTGGCATGCTGTCAATTAACTTCTGGACCACATCCTGACTGATGGCAGCCCATTCTTGCATAATCAATGCTTGGAGTTTGTGGGTTTTTGTTTGTCTACCCGCCTCTTGAGGATCGACCACAAGTTCTCAATGGGATTAAGGTTTCCTGGTCATGGACCCAAAATGTCGATGTTTTGTTCCCCAAGCCACTTAGTTATCACTTTTGCCTTATGGCAAGGTGCTCCATCATGCTGGAAAAGGCATTGGTCATCACCAAACTGTTCTTGGATGGTTGGGAGAAGTTGATCTCGGAGGATGTGTTGGTACCATTCTTTATTCATGGCTGTGTTCTCAGGCAAAATTATGAGTGAGCCCACTCCCTTGG